GGAAGTTTGTGAACAAACAAATCATCTTGGCTCTTTATATCAACTCAGATAGAAAAGTGTTGATGTAAAATAAAAATTCCACCTTCTTGAAACTTTATCACTCGAAGCCAGAAAAATAGATAGCAAAAATATACATATTACCTCCATATATATTACCCTACTAGCTTACACTATATTTTTTTTCTGAAAGATGAGGAAAAAAAGGAATTAATACTAATAGACTTTTCATTTCTGTGAAGCAAGACACTTACATGGCTGATTTTTTAGTTTTTTTTGGGTTCAGAATTTGTGGGCTCAGCTGGCAATGCATTTTTTATCTTGTGCTTTTGCCGTAACTCTATCTCTTTTTGCAAATCTAGTGGAGTATCAAACCTTAGCCGAATTGCAAGTAGATCATCCTCAAGCCTATCTAGATCAAATACAATAAATTCGTCTTTGTGTAAGTAGCTGTTAATAACCATTGATGTATTCTTAATATTATCAGTATATCGTCCAATTATTTTGGACACGTCTTGATAAGAACTGCCCCGTTAAATATTACTAGATAGGATAAATTCTCACGAATAATTACTGAGACATGATGATATTTTTGTGTTATATAGATTGGGCTTATATTTCGATGATGCCCATGTGTGAAGAATAGAATAATTCGGTTTTGGATGGACTTTGGAGCAACACATAAATCCTCAAAAACAATTACAGTATTTCTCTCAGGTGAAAATAACTTTACGCTAGGAATTTTTTCAGGTGAGATATATTTAAATCTAATATTTTCGTAATATGGTGCTCTTGGATCACTTGCAATTACTCCATACATATATCTAACAAATGCTCATTTAGGTTCATCTGGGTGATATCCACAAACTATCAAATCATCACATCGTATATAGCGGGATCTACCCTTTTTTTTTTTATATATATATTCACCTTTATCACCAACAAAAATATTTCCAAGTATATTAGTTTTATCTATACCACTCTTACTACTAACTACCTTACTGAAGAGCTATAACATTGCTGGATGTCCAACATTTCGAATTGATTCATGTTTATTAGCTTCATCTATATCTATAAGATAAAGTTTCATAGGTGGTAAAGTGAAACTCATTTTCTTTGAAAATAAGCTTGATGAGCCATAATCCTTGGTTCGCCCTTCAAGCTTGTTCTGCAATAGTTCTTTCTTTTGATTTTTTTGTATATCAGATGAGTTGAGAACTCAAAGCACTGCTTCCTGGGAATCCATATTTATAATTTCTATAAACTGGATAAAAAATTTCTTTTCTCCGATAATTCACTTCACTTTGTTCGTTCATGGTCGGTTTAGGCACATTAGTGCCCTCACTCTGTGAGTATATTCCAGAAAACAAATTGTCGG